GTAATTGCATTTGAAAACACGACTTTTATTTAGCTATGGTTGTTACCTATCAGCCAACCTCGTTCCCAGCTGGGAATATTGGGAACGAGGTTGACCAATTTGTTTTTAGATATCTGAGTCTAGTTTATTGTATTCTTTGTCTTTTAGTTTTAACAAGAGTTGCATTAATATCGTCTTCCGTTTTTATTTCATTGCATTCATTTGCATCAAGACGAATAACAAAGCCATATAACAAAACCAGAAGTTTGCCATTAACATAGTAACAAGATCCTCTATATCTTCCTTTAAGATTTTTTTTTAAGGGCATCCATGCTAGTGTATATAACAGAATTTATATTGAGTGCGTCAGAAAATTCCTACATTTGCCCTTGAAAAAATTGTTGAGATAGTGGAATTTGGATGCTACTTCAATGAACCAGTGACACATTATCCCAGAACTGAAAATCCAAATTTCAAATAGCATTGATTGAACCTCGTAGGTGGTATTTGAAGATAACATGGTGCAGCCTTGCTGTTTTGCATTTTACGTCTTTTGAATATCGTGCTTCTTCCGCGCCTGCCTGATACGTGGGAAATGAAATACAAAACAACACCAACCGAACTGTTGTCTACAAATAGGGATAGGCTTACAATCGAATTATCAAGTAGCATTTGAGATGGGTCTACAATACTCCGAGTGTTGCTTATTTCAACTGTAATTTTCTGAGTGGCGAAGACCCCAAACGTCTAATCTTCCTTACAAGTATGCCACCTTGCATGCTGGTCAGAAATAAAACAAACAAACAAACATACAAAAAAAACCGAACAAGCTGTAAAAACAAGTCAAGGAAAGATCAAACGAAAACAGAAAAACAACAGGGAACATTTCACTTCCAGTTGATGAGAGCTGCTTCGTAAAATGTCACTGCTTCGAAAGGAAAAACTTTTTTGGGCCTGTGTATTCATGATGATGAATATAAAAGGTTCAATCTGAAAAACCACGTAGTTTTCCCAGTAAGGGCGCCTATCAATCCTCTGCTCAGACTTCTTCAAGAGTTGGAAACTTCGTGAAAAGCGATATATTCAAACAGTAAGAATTCAAGAAAGAAAATAAACCTACCTCAACCTGGTGGGCACCTCTTGCAAGGCTATTGATGGAAGAAATGGCTTCGTTGTGAGCAAGAATGACTTCATTTACGCAGTCAAAACTTGCGACTCGGTTCAGAAGTCACTTGCAACTTATTAGACTATGACTAAAACTAAGAAGGAATAAGGTGGGCTGCCATGATGACTAGCTGGATATAATTTGTAACATTTTTGTGTTTTGATTGACTAATGGATCCCGGAGAGTAAAAAGTGGCCTTCGATGTCAGTTTTGGAAATGTAGAATGTGACCTGATAAAAATAGCTCTCTTATAATCCTAAACATTGACACGTAAAAAGCCACAATTTGCCGTATCAAAAAATTTTCCTTATGTAGCCTATGGCGCCTCCTAAAAGTTTCTTTTACCTGGCGCACGGCGATTTTTAATATATGCAGTGAGAGCCAGGAGGAAAATGAGAGCAGCCACAGGTCCACCAATGTAGTACCACTCCAGTGAGCTGCTGGAAGGGGCCTCTGCATTTGATGTAGAAAAGCAATTTACTTTGTTAACAAAGGAAACCAGTCTCGCCAATTCTTAGTGTAGAAAAGTGGAAGGGTTGAATTATTACTCTTTGTTTTGTCTCAGCAAATGACTATTTGACATTCGTATTATTTACTGCTTGTGTTGAGGTGATGCAATCTGATCGGCTATGATACTCACTAAAGAGTAACATCAATCTTACGGCAGAAAAGGAAACAGTCATGAGAATGTAAATTGAACATGAACTCGTGAGAGTATGTACGTTATCGTAAGAAATCATCTAGTTATCTCCACGTATGAGGTGCTGCTCCTATATATAACTTTGTTTTAAGTTAATGATCTTAGTTTCAAGACGATGAAAAAACAACAATGGAAAAGCCTAGGAACATAAAATTTCAAGGTTCTAGTTTACAGCAATGCACTTACAGGCACACCAGCTTACCTTTTACATCCAATATCACAGAAGAGTGAGCCACAGTTCCGAGCTTGTTACTTGCTTCACAAGAATATTCACCACTGTCCTCTTCCACAACCGCAGTAATAACAAGTTTACTCTTTCTCTTATTCAATCGGGTATCTACAACTGCTCGTTCTTTTAATGATTCTCCATCTTTTTTCCAAGTTATCTTGTCGGTTTCCTCGTTGACTTTGCAGGTCAATGTGAGGATTTCTCCCGTTGTGAGTGTTAAATCTGTTTCTGGAACAACTTGAGCAGAGGCTTTTCCTACATTAGGAGAGAGAAAATCGATTACAATCCTAATGACACTTTGAAATTACAGCTGCAGTATCCACACAAAACAAGCTAATTAACAAACAAATAAACAATAATATGGAAACAAACGGATCCAGATGTGGCCTTTAAATAATGTTTTCAAAACATTTCAATTGACCTAGTCTCATTACGAGTTAAAAAGTTCCGAAAATTAACTCTGTGGATAGATGCAAGAGAGGTAAATATCCAAAGGATTTATTTCGAACATTTAATCGATATTTCACCGAATATTTCGTTCAGGAATGGAGCAGATTTTTGTGTTCCATTACCTTGCTCATTGTCAAGATGAGTAATTATTGAATCACACTCAAAAATGGCTTTTGAGTCTCGCTTTTCTTTTGAAATCCTCGTGCTCTACTCTGAACTTCCTGGATCTCTCCGTAGCAGAAATATATTCGTTAAAATGTTCCAGCTAAGATGTAGGAAACATATATATTTTGCAGTATTTCGCATTAATCAAAAGACGATATCGCCATTACTTATATAGCTTTTCCTTGCTTTATTAATCTTTCCAGATATACTCAGTTGACTCAAATAGCGGATTCCTTCAAGTAATTTGTAACAAATCTTATCCCTATGTAATGTAATAGGCTCAAGAAAATTGTTACTAAGAATTGATTTCGTCCGTATTCACTCTTCAGCTTACTCAAATGTAAGAGGATTCTCTTCGATGATAATGAAACTTCAATAAGAATTATACCTCTTCCATCTTTTAGTCTCTTTGTCTGTACAAATGGGTTCAGAATTGAAGCTATGTATATTCTGGAAGCAGTCTAAATGCACAACCCTTGAGCTCCTGTCTCCCTCCTTTTTCTCCACTTTTATCTTTATCTTTATCTCCACATTCATCGCTAACATCTTCATCTTCATATTCATCTTCATGCTAATTAACAACATTCTATTTTTTTTTTGTTAAACTTACCATAAACACGCAGCACTGCAGAGGAACTAGTTGTATTTTCTTTGTTTTTTGCTTTACAATTGTAAGTCCCTTCCATCTCTTTTGTGACACGTGGCAATTCCAGGATTGACTCTCCTTCCTGATCAGTCTGATTGACACCAGATGGCAGGTCACCATTGTTGAAATCCCACAGAAATGTTGGTATTGGAACACCTGAGGCTACGCAACTAAAGTTGACAAGATATCCTTCGGGAACAGATTGGTCTGTCAGAGGAGCAATGATCTGGGGAGAGACTTAAAGTAAAAAGATCACCAAGTTAAAAAAAGAATCGTATTGTCCATTTTATTTTAACAGTACCCTCACCCCCGCTCAATTCAAATTAAAATCAAACTACGTAATTCTCGAGCCTATTTTTAATCCGAGTTATTTCGCAATCAGTTTTCTTCCTCACGTTTGATAAAGGAAGGTATAGCCCAGCCCAATGTGACGTTAAAGCAATATTTTTTTTAGTTTGCCTTGAATATTTTCTATCTTAGCAAAATTAAGGAGTGATGATAATTTTATTATCTATTCATTCATTTTTTCATTAATTCTTATAGGCTAGAAGGTGTAACAGGTGTGATGTCAACAAGGCATGCTTGGCTTTGGTAGATTGTGCTGGCATAATTTTAAGCATAATTCAGCAAAACGAGTATTATTTTCAGCCTTTATTTCAGCTTAGCACTACTGGCATAATCCAAGCTTTTATGCGTTGAAAACAAACAAAAAAAAACATCATAGCTCTAGAATAATTCGGTTTGTATTTTATTTTTGTATTGCTTTTGGAAAATATTGAGGTCTGTGCTAGGGCCCATGGTCAGATATGGTCCGGCAGGCAGCAGAGGTCACCCTGTGCGTGACACTGAGACTCAGGCCAGTACGCTTATGGCTCGGCGGCTCGGCCCCTCAGGCCTCAGATCAAAGATGGCGTCGTCCTCGAGTACATCCACTTCCACCACTTCAAGCACTTCCAGTTCCGCACCGAGAGCTTTAATCTCTACAGAACGTACTATTTGTATCATTTGTTAATCATTTGGCTGTTCGAGGTGCGCACATGCGTATTTGCGATGCTAGAGACTGTAAGACTGGATAGTGGACTATGTGAATATTCATTAAAGTCAAAATTGATAGAGTTAAGCCACTGATGATCTTTATTTTCCTCAAAATCAGTGTAAAATGTAAGTAGCATAATTTCGGTGACAGAGAGCATAATTTTCAGAAAGTAGCATAATTTTTCCATAATTTCTAAAAGATATGAGCACTGCTAAAAGCATAATATGCTTTTTTTTTCTATCACAATCTGCCAAAGCCTAAGCCATGCTACCATCTCCCAAGATTACCAGTTTCTATAAGTTCTTATAGTTCACCACTAAATTTTCTCCGATTCTTATTGAATTAAATTGATCATGTGACGCGATAGTGTTCATCCGTGGAAAGACAGTTGCAGCCCATAGTGTCTGTCCGCGGAAAATACAAGGATGGATAGTACTGAACCGTGAAAAATTTTTCTGCACTAAACAAGCAGTCTTCGGAAAAACAGTGACTTTTTAATTCTGACAGGTATAAAGTACTATTTAGTCAATGTACGGTTGCGAATTATTAACATTTGTGACAGGCTGTACGCATGAATAGATATTTGATTCATCTGCATTTAGTAGGTTTCCACTGTTTTTCAACCGGCGCGCGGAAGAAAATTTAGTGATGAGCAATAAAGACAACAGAGTGTTTATGTCTCGGAACTATCGGTCTGATAGTTGCCCTTTGCCCCGACAGAAACACTCTATTGTTTAAATTATACACTATTGTAACTCAATGAAGGCACTCACGTTTGGTAAAGGAAGGTATAGCCCAGCCCAATGTGACGTTAAAACAAAATATATTTATTTTTTATTTGCCTCAGATATTTCCTAATATAGCAAAAGTATGGAGCGATGATAATTTTATTATCTATTCATTAATTTTTTCGTTAACTCTTATAGGCTAGTAGGTGTTACTGGTGTAATGTCAACAAGTCATGCTACCATCTTCCAAGATTTCCATTTTCTAAGAGTTCATAGTATAGTCCTGTAATTCGATGAATAGCTTGGCAAAGATGGTCAAAAACTAGAAAAGGTTTCAATTCCCAGAAAATATTACACCAGATTTTTCATTTTAGACACCCAAATTGTCCGTTGTAAGGATACAAGTTCACAATGACGCTAGGATTGTTTTCATAGATCTCTTTGTGATTTTGGTCGCTGATTTAGCATGGATGTTTTGACAGAAATCGCTTTCCAACTTCAATAATAAATATTTACTTGGTAATGATGCACCTATAACTGCTTTGACAAACTATAACTCGTACGCTGTTACTAATTCTGATGATGCGCATGAAATCATGACTCGTCAGTCATTGATATTCATCGAGTAATTTGATGAGGAGAGAGATGGGAAG